CTTAACATCTTTCAAAAAAATAATTATTACATGCAATAGCTTAAGCAATAAGTTGTTTCAATAAATCTACTCTTAGCATTGTCAATAATAAAACTTCGATATTATCTTTTAATTCATATCAAAATCAATTGATAAGGGCTTTGTCATTCCAATCCATATTGCAAATAAGGTTTTGGAATTTAGTAGTATATATAATTTTTAAACATGATCTTTGTTGTAAAAATTAGAATTTTATTTTTACTATTCTTTTTTTATTACTTTCTCTTAACATGATTATAAACACTTTTAAAAATAAATTTAGATTATAGAAGAGTTTTAAATATTTTTCCATCAAAGGTGTAAAATTAAGAGAGATCATTCTCAAATAAAAGTGCACCTATAAATCTAACTTGAATAAATTTATCCTATTGTTAGAAAGGATACAATTTTAAATAGAGCTTAAATTGTTGTAATAATCTTTAAACTTTTGTTTCATTAAACTTCTCTAGTTTACTTATTATTGTCTTTTTTATACTTATAATAGTATAAATTTTTGAATTCAATTGTGAACTTTATTTACTTGTTTCTCTTAATTGTACAACTTTTTGGTGTAGACTTTGAATTTTATTATTAACTTCTTTTATAGATGTAGAAATAGTACATTCATGATTAATGATAGTAATATATGTGATTTCTATCCTAAAATTGATGACAAGCTTGTGAAGATTTATAATAATTTTAAGTCTATTCTCACTTTTTTTGAATGTAGTATCTATAATTTTTTCTTTCATATATTTAAAAAATGAGTTTAATTAATTTATAATTCAAATTAAAAGAAATTAAACCATAACCTTTAATATTAAATGAAAATTTCTACAAAAAAAATAGTTTTATTTTTTAATAGAAAGAATCAATATCAAAAAATAGAAAATATTAATTTAAAGGTAGATAGGCCGCAATCTTCAAAGTACAAGAAAAGAAAAGATATAATCCACTTACTTCAAAAACAAAACAAGAATAAGGAATTAACATTCTTATTAAAACTGTCAAAGACATGAATTTCAAAAAATAAAATGATCAATATATTCTAGTTCTATTAAAAAAGATTAAAAAATTATTCAAAGATAGTATAATATTAAATTAAAATAGCTATTGACAAAGAAAAAAAACTAGAGATCTTTAAGACAAGACTAGAAATAAAAAAAATATTGACAAGAATAAAAAAAGGCTTCACTCTTGCTTCCATATATATTATCTAACTAAGAGCTACATGACAATGTTCTATAATACATCTAATACATATATAACTTACAAATAGGAATTTATATATATATAAACCACATGATCAACTTGTACCACAAGTTACTAGTATGTACAACACATGGTTAATTTGTTGGCCAAGTTTCTAATCTATCAATCAACTACAAACTCATATAAAGACAAATTTGTATCTATGAAGCTTGACAACAAGATATTATTAAATCTACATTCATATAATATATATCTAACACTTCTTATCTAGATAATTATGTATGTCTATGATACATTCTCTTATTTCTATGTTTCTTTGTTTTTATATTCTTTGGTTTCCATGCTCATTGCATTCCTTGAATTCTTTACGTTATCTTCTTTATGGCTAATCAAAAGGCATTTTTATTTCTTTGTGTTATATCCAAGTTATCTTATATAATAGATGTGATTCTTATATTGTTGTTTCTTCATATTATATATCAAATTTCCTTACATGATATTATTTTTTAATAAATCAAATATCTAAGTATATATGTAATAACTATAAGAAATTAATATAATATCAAGTATATATTTATTTTAATAAAATTTTAAAATATACATAATATTACAAATATATATTGATAGAAATATTTTTTCTTGCTTAGTGAGAGGTTTAAAACATATCATATCAATTTGCATAGGTTCCAATCCATATTTATATTTGATAATAATATGTCAATATTATTATTGATGTCCTTATAATCTAAAAATTAAATATATTTCATTAACTAATTATATTGCTTAGAACCGAATCCACTCTTGAATTATCACATGAATAATTTTTTACTTATTAATGCCAAATTTAATATATGTAAAATCAAAATAATATTATAATATTTTTTCCAAAAATTAAATAATTAATGATTATAAATAAGATTTTATACCATAATAAGAAAAAATAAAATATTATATATATATATATATATATACATAATTCTACTTATAATAGTTATTATAATTCATTAAAACTATTACTACAATAATATTATTTTTTATTATTTTTCTTTTTAATTTTTAGTTTAAAAGACACTCTTTAATAAAAATAAAAAAATGAAACTATCTTGCAGTATGCAATTCATTTATAGTAATCAAGATATATTTTAAAAAATCATTTTTTAGTCTTTTAAATAATCAATTAAATATAAAAATTAGATAATTCATAATTTTTTATTTAGATATCATTACTATTATTATTTACTACTTTGAAACAAACCACAATTTTTTAGGCAAATTTGGTGTAATTTCTTTTTGAAAAAAAAAATTGCTAAAGAAAAACAAATACATAATGTAATCTCTTTTCTATTTAAAAAAATATTGAATATAAATCTGATGTTATTACTATTTTTTTTAAATTCCAAATATTTATGTATATATAGCTAAAATTATATACATAATTAATGGTATATCTTTTATATAATAGTTTTTTATTTTTATTTTAAAATGAAGACATTATTACCAATATTAATTAAATTAAATTAAATATTTTTATATCTATTATATGACAAGTTAAAAAGTTGTGAAATTAGTAAAAATTGAGAATAATACAGTTATATAAATATTTCTTTTGTATTAACTTTGAGTATGATACATCTTAATATTAAATAGTGATAATATTATAATAAATAATACCATATTGAAAAGACAACTATGAAAATTCAAATATCAGTTGCCTTAGTGGCATGTGTTAGATTGGTGAAACATAATAATTGCTAAGGTTGAGTGACAGTAATATTTGACATTGCAATGGCCTATTATTGTACAAATAATTCATAACTCTCTGTAGCAGGTAAGGAATAAGATGTTAATATTGTTGAATATAACTAAGTTGTGGAATATAATAACTATTTTTTTAAACCTTAATTACTATGAAAATTCTTTTAATGCTTCAACTTGGCTTGGTCGTCCTAGCTTGGGCAATGAAAATTAGTATTTTTGTACTATTTTGTAAAATAATTAGAATTTTACTATCCTAGTTACATTTATTTATATTTATTTTTGAACATGTATCATACATGCTGGATTTATAGCATGTAAAAGTTTGTAAGATTTGTTTTAGCATTGGAAATTGCTGATATAATTGTACAGTAAATAGATTTAACAAAATGATCTTTACGAAAAAAATTACATATATAAGTGTGCTTGTTTATAAATATATATATATATATATATATATATATATATATATATAAATTAATTTTTTTATAATAATTTTTTATCGTTAATATTTTTTTGTAACGAGCATAAATGTTTAATACGTATTTACTTACTACCATCTTTAATAAAATTTTAAAATAAAAATCGCAATACAATACTGAAGAAAAATTGATTCAAATGTCAAGTAAGGTTAACTTAAACATTTAATACATCAAAATTCGTAATTCTCTCTCTACATATATGTTAGGGTACAAGTCAAGGAAAAATAATGAACAAAGCTTGATAATGCTTGCATTGACTGGACCTGAATTTGAATCAATTTTCACCACCAAGTGTTTTTAAGAATTTCTTATAAAAAAAATTAAAAATTAAAAAAATCAAAAAAAGCAAAACATCAACTGACAAAAAAAAAATTCACAAAAAATAACTGTGTTCTTACAAAGTTAGCAAGTTATAACATGTGCTGAGTGAAAGCACATCCAAAGTTGAAAAGTGCATAATGAAAATTAATTACTATTTATAGTTTTTATTTTTTAAAATATTACAATAGTATCATCCCAATACATAGAAAAATTGATGCAAAAGTGATGTGGTTTTTATTCTTGTCAATCCATTTCCTAAATAATATTAGTCATGTTAATTATTATTTATTTTTATTTAATTTGATGTAGCATAAATTTTCTGCTTATTCTATTTATTTTATTTTCACTTTTTTATTTTGCAGCAGAGCATTCAGTAAAAATTCTGGTATTAAAATTAATTTTATAAAACTATGGATTTTTTTGGTTCTTTCATATTAGTTATTGTACCATTTGTTGTTCAGTGATGGAATGAACACAGAAATGCAATGATCTTTATTAATACTTACTGAATAAAGATATAGAGGAAAAATGTGTGAATAAAATTTCACTATTGTTGATGCTTTTGTATAAAAGATAGGGACATTCTGAAATACCACATAGTCGATCACAACAAAGTCGTTTTAATAAAATGCTTATCTAGTAATTACAACTCAGATTCCGTTATTAAAAGTACAAATCCAAAAACGTTATCAAGTTATAACATTCGAATACTATACATTACGTCACAACATAAAACATATTTCTTGTATATTTCACAAAAGTTGACAACTCAATTCATCAAAATGTGTTTGCAACGAAGTCAACACAAAACATAGTAAGAAAAGATGAACACTGCCCATTTTCAAACAAGGAAGTGAGCATGTGAGTTGTCCAAAATAAAACACACAATGAAGCAAAGAGAGAGTGAGAATAGTGTCCACGCGTGTTACATGTCCAATTCCCCAAGAAGGAAAAAAGAAGAGTCCCCCCCCCCCCCCCCCCTCTTTCCCTCTTTCCCTACTTCCCTCTTTTCCTATATTCCTTTTTCTTTCTTGCTTTCTTTTCTTTCTGCATTGTTTGTTTCTTTCCACCCTCGAAGCTTGTTTCTATGTGAGGGAAGGCTGCTCTCAGAGCGCGACACATGGCGGCATCGGGGGCAGAACAGGAGGCAGGCATCGACGGCGGGGAGGGGGGCAGTATCGGCGCTGTAGTATGGACGAGGCAGATGGGAGTGTGGGGATAGACGAGGCAAAGCCACAATGAATTTTGTTGCTGCTGCTGTTGCTGTTTGTTGTATGTATGTATGTATGTATGTTTGGTGGTGGTGGTGTTGTTGTTGTTGGCACTCGGTGAAGATAGCTCACACGGAGGCCCAGAGCGTCGGAGCATTAATTGTGTGCGATTCCGGGCGCCGGGGTGCAGTGGGAAGGGGCAGCGCAGGCGGAGGTTTTCTTTTTGGTTATTTTATTTTTATTTGATTTTTCGGTTTTCGGGTTCTGGTTTGGTTTTGTTCCTCTGTTCTTCGTTCGTCATCCTCGTCGCGTGACTTGGTTTTGGTAGGATGGGAGGGATTAAGGAAAGGGGGATAGCAGTGGAGGAGGCGAGGGGGTGAGTTTACTTGGAGTGGCGGTGGAGGTGGATGTGATGGAATCGACGACTGCAGGAATTCATGTCACGGTGTTGGTTCAATGAGCAGGAATTGGGAAAGAGGGATCTTAGCTTTCTATTGGATTGCGTGGTGGTTGGTGGAGGGACGCGGAGGAGAGGGCGATCCAACCCTAAGGGAGCAGGGTGTGTGGGAAGAGTAGGTTGTGCGGGAGATGTGCCACATGATGGACGATGTTTTGTGGATAAATTGGATTTTGGTAGATTAGGATGGATACATGAGGAGGACGGGGAAAGGATGAGGGAGGAGTCGGTGTTGCAAGGGGCTGTGCGACGAAGTAGTGGTTGTGCTGCGGAGACGGCAGGTGTGTTCCGCGTGCCAATGGTCGATTGAAGATGGTGAATCGGCCGTTGGTGACTGTTGACGTGTAGCAAGCGCACATCGTTCTTGAGTTTGGTGCAGGGACGCAGCATGAGGCAGTTTTTCAGTCCTGATGGCAACATGTTCGGCCATATCATTGGCCGATCTCTTAATTACTCGCAGGTTATTTGAGAACACCTCCTTGTTATTCAATTTCGTCAGTGTACATAATCCAATGCATGAACGATGAGTAATGAAAATGAAACGAACGTGACGAGGTGAGACGGGAACTGAGAGTTGAACGGTGTGAGCGGAATGTAGTCAAGGTCGATTGTGTTGTGATGGTAAGGCGTCTACATTTCCTTTTTCATCATGCGGTTTTCAATCATCTTGTACTCGCCTGCTCATAAGCTGATGGTTGGCCGATACCTTGGATGTAGCTTTCTGGCTTCAAAAGATGTAGTGTTCGATCTACTGGCTAATTTTTCGGAGCAGACTTCGCATCCTTATACCGGGTTGCAGAAGCATGAAATGATATCTTTCTCAAAGTTGCAGTTAGTGAGCTGACCTTTCAATGCTTCTAGTGTTTCGATATTCAAAGTTGCAGTTAGTGAGCTGACCTTTCAATGCTTCTAGTGTTTCGATATTCAAAGTTGCAGTTAGTGAGCTGACCTTTCAATGCTTCTAGTGTTTCGACATTCAAAGTTGCAGTTAGTGAGCTGACCTTTCAATGCTTCTAGTGTTTCGATATTGCTCCTTTTATGTACGAGAAATCGATTGCTGGCTTTTACGGTTCGTTTTGAGGATAAGAGGTCAATAGTATTGATGTCTGTTGAACGCCTGTCTGTCTGCCGAATGCATGGCACCTGAAGTTGTCTTTGTCATTGTTATTGTCATTCTTCATTCTTTTGGAGCGGCCACGATTTTGACTGGCATTGTTTTACTTTGTGACTTGGATTGGCAGGGCGTGTTAGACTTAACTGTAATTACACCTAATTTTCTCATTCAGATTTTTTGAAACTTTTTTGCTCATCAATATATCTATTTGGTTCATTGACTGCAATATTGTGCTCGTTTTTAAGCTTTGGACCTGTGTCGATCCTCTACATGTAAAAAATCGCTTGGGAATAAAGTTGATTGAAAAGGTTAATCGGCGTGCAAACTATCGAACTTGTAGGTGTCATCGCTTGAAAGTTTATCAGACGCTGTTCTATTTGAACGGCTGCACTGGACGATGCTTGACTCTTGTTTAAGCGTTTTTATATCTGATTGATGGCTGTCCTTTAGCCTCGTTACACCCTGGTTTTGGAGCCTCGCCAGTCACAACGATTGTTTGGTATATTTTTGGGAACAGGTTCCGTATCCAGTTTTGCCGCAGTACTCTATGCGTGCACTGCAAATGCACTCCTCCCTGGTGCAGCGATTGGATCTTGAGAAGGTGATGGAGGTGGGTTGAAGCAACAATCCTAGCAGTTCATGAGTTTGTTAACATAGAATTTAAGTGCGATTTGTCTCTGTAAAGTATCATGTAGCCGCCAAATTGTTCACGGATGCGTTCTTTCCTTCAGCAAACCTTTACTGGTCGTCATAGCTGCAACCCGAGGGCCATACTTTTACTTTCTTATGTGCCTATGATAGGTATGATTCTAAGGGTTAAGTGTTTTATCATGCTCTATTATTCATTTTAAAGCAATAAAATATATAAATGGATTGGGCATAAAGCTTAGAACTGGTTTTTATTCTAAACTGTTAAACTCAAGTGAACCTTTCTGTTCAAACCTTGGCCTTAGTCGCATAATGGTGTTGCGATACAGGGTCATATTGGTTGTGTGAATACTATTGCGTGGAACGCAAGTGGTTCTCTTCTCATCTCTGGATCAGACGACACCAAGGTTTGCTTATATATCCAAAGAAATTACATGTTTAATGTCTGGATTTATTATGCAACCACAGTACTTCCGATACATGGCTGGTGCACTTTATTGTGGAAAGTGACTTAGTGATTTTTACTTTGACAGGTGAACATTTGGGATTACGGAAGTCGAAAGCTCATTCACAGCATTGACACGGGTCACTCCGCCAACATATTTTGTACAAAATTCATGCCCGAAACTGGTGACGATGTTGTAGTTTCTGGGGCAGGTGATGCTGAGGTACAACACAGTTAGCTCTACTTGGTAGATCATGGTCTTGGGGTCTCCAATATGATGGTTATGGAATGAAGGCATTAGATTACTCATTTCAACCAAAGCGTTTGTTTAAAAGCTGAAAAATTGAAGCAGAGGCTTTTGAGTCAATGACTTTCCTTCGGTATAATCAGATCGCTTCTTAAGAAGCGCACGAAGTTATGGATTCGTAGTTTAGTTCTTACCAGACTTTCTTCAGAATTGAGCCCGTTATGGTTAGACAAAGGTTCGACGTTGGACTACATTTGTTTGATGCTTTTGCAATATATTCCTCCGATTTCCTTTGTTTAGTTTGTCAGTGCTGTGGACGTATTATCAGGTTTTATGTTTTTGTGTTGTTAGGTCAGAGTGCACCGGGTTAGCATGTCGTCGGCATCTGTTTCTTTGCCACACAAGATGGGTCTATTTCGATGCCATACAAGACGGGTGAAGAAGTTGGCGGTAAGAAAGTTTTTGGTGGATTCATTGTTTGAGAGTTCTGAGGATGTTGATTGTGTTCACTTCTTTTCGCATAATATCCTATTCTATGCTAAACAGGCCGTGAAATACTTTTTGTTCTGGTTTTTGTTCATGGGCATCATTGGGATAAAGTGCTTACTTTCCAGGACAGGAGTATCGGATGTAATCATTAATATTTACTCATCACTTGGGAGGTAATGAGAATGTTATACCATTGTCCAGGTTGAAGATGGAAATCCACACGTTGTGTGGAGCGCAAGCGAAGACGGTACACTTAGGCAGCATGATTTCAGAGAGGGAGTTCTCTGTCCTCCTCCAGGCTCTGGGGATGAAGATTGTCGAAACATTCTCGTGAGTGTCTCTCTATGTATGGCTCTGGATATTTGGTTTTGCTGTAATTTGTACTGCTTCTTGGTTTCACATGTTGTAATCCCCTAGTGAGGGAGGTAGGTCTCTGCAATTTTTCATATATCACGAGTCTCGATTGGATTTACTTCAGTTTTTGTAACACTTTTAGATGATGAATTTTGCCTAAAAACTAGCCGTCTTTGCTGATAACCCATCATATCCTAGCTTGTCTTAGTAGTTGTACGAGGTTGTATTGGTCGAATATCTGATTTTTTGACGCCTGCAGTAACACGGTGTTCTTTGCTTTGGTGATCAGTTGGACCTACGCAGTGGTCACAAGAAATCGCTCTCAGATCCTCCTAGGAATTGCCTGCACCTGAAAACTTGTGCTATTAATCCCACTCGGCCTCATCTGTTGATGATTGGAGGCAGGTAAAATTATTGTCGAAAATGCAGCGAAGAGTTGACCTCAAAGTTATCATTGGTACAGTATCATTTGATGAATAGCATTTTCGTCGACAACGGTTTTTATGATCTCATTACTGATGACAGTATTCAATCTTCCGGGGCGGACGTGTGGACATCATAAAATTGTGTATAACTTGATAATCGTTTCATTTTATTTTTGCCTTGTATCGAAATTTTTCTTTAAGTTCAAGTCCCGTGGAACTATCATCCTCTCTTTACCTGATACTAGCAGCACCTGATTTTAAACTGACGTTTATATTTTTAAACTTGCAGCGATGCATTTGCTCGGTTGTACGACCGCCGCATGCTTCCTCCCCCTTCTTCACCTAGGCAGCTGGGCAAACCCCCTTCTTGCGTCAGCTACTTTTGCCCAGCTCACTTGTCAGAGCACGTATATTTCCATTACCCTCAAGTCCACACGATTTTATATATATCCTACAATTTTGAAAACTATGTGTTTAAAATGGTGTGTCATTGATGGCTTATAATTTTTAATCTTTAAATTTTTGTTTCTTTTCCAGAGTCGATCAGGACTTCATTTGACACATGTGACGTTTAGTCCAAATGGTCAGGAGGTGCTGCTAAGCTATAGTGGTGAGCATGTTTATTTATTCGACGCTAATAACGGTAAGTCTCTTTTAGCAAACTTCTTTTGAATTTTTCAAAACAAAGAGAAGCCAATGTTTGTGTAGTAAGTTCTATATGTCATGAATTTTTGGACGGCTCCTTTCAATAAATGTTGTACCATAACAGCTACAGCTACAGCTACAACTAATCTATGTGCAATTATTTCTTATTTTGGTTGAATGTGGAGAAGTCACTATTCGGTGAACTGGGTCATACTCATTTTTGTCTCTCTAGTGCAGGCCGTGAAAATCCTGATGTCTATGTGGCGAGTGATGTACCCAAGAGAACATCGCTCAATCTAATCGACGTCAACCCTAGTACTGTTCATTCACCCCATTTGGTCAAATTGGGGCGTGGGTACCGGCGCAACGCTACTTGGGTAAGTTTACGTGTTGGTTCTTCTGCTTCTTCGAAGATAAAATCCACTGGAATTTATTTTGATGAAATTTTAGCTGGCTCATTTACTTTTGACATCTTTGAAGTGGAAGAGGCATTGTAGCATTCAAGTAGATGTTGTCTTATCTTTGATGTCATCAAATGAACTGCAAACCTGTCTTCCAATTCATTATTAATGGCTGTCATGTTAGCTCTTCGGGGAAAAGTTCCCATCGAAGTGTTAACCATGACATCCGCTTTTGTGTTCATGTTGTTTACTAGTGATTTGTTGATCATATTTGGAGCCATGATTTTCTAGCTTACAGTCCTATGGTCTTTGAAGTTTGTGTCGGTGAGAGTCAGGGTGGCGGCGATGTGTGTTGACTTGTAAGTCAACTTTTGGGATGTACTACCTTTCGTCTTATGACCAGCTTTTTCTGATTTAGCTTTTCGACATCACTTCTCATTCATACCAATGTTGGTGAGTTGAAGATCTGAGGGGTTCGACCCATAGCATGCAGCGACATTGTTAGAATCCTTCATAGAATTTGTTTTTGCAGTTGAAAGAGTGCCAAGAGCTAGTGGAGGAAGCCAAAAATGTTTTGGAAGAAGGAAGTAATTACATATATGTAATTGAGGCAACTGGAGAAGTATTACATGGGGGAGGCCAGGTGGTGGGTGACAATCTTCGTCATGATGCCCTTTGCATACGAGCTGCTGCGTTCCTAAAGGTATGTGCTGATACTTCATCTTGCACTCCATGATTGCAGTTGAAAAATTCATTTTGTGCCAGAAATAGTGTATCTCCTCAGTATCTCGTCTTTCTCTTATCTCAATCTCAAATACTAGGCTTTCCTCTCCAAAACCAACTTTGTAGGATAATTGCAGCATTTGTGTGTCCTTAGTCTGCACTTGAGTAATCGGCACTCTATAGTTAATTTTATGCTCTGTGGTTTCGCAGCGTCAGTGGAAAAATGATGTTCATATGGCAATTAGAGATTTGAATGATGCTCGTCACATTCTTGCTACTTCCAGCAGGGCTCACCACTATATGGCAGAGGCACTTTCACAGGTTCCATTTCTTGTTATCTCTTAGTTCTAAAATAGTATTCACATTTACTGATTGTCTGTATCTAACAATGACGTCCAGATGATGATGACTATAAACATAAAACGCTTTATTTGCATTTGATATAGGTGGATGGTAAGCCACTAGAGTCATCTTCTGGATTAGGCCACCTTTTTTTTTCCTTCGAATGTAAAGATTGACTTTTCTTCACCGAGATATGTTGGCAAACAAACGGTAGCCAAATACTCTATGTAGTCTAAATTAATGTGTGTTTTGTTCCCTGAAACTTGGCAGCTTGGAAGATATAAAGAAGCCCTGGATTTTGCTATGAGGTCATACCAACTGGATTCATCTGATAACAGGCTATTTGAACATGTTGCGCAGCTTCGTGCCAAGATCAATGCAGGTGATCTGTTCCCACTCACTTTCATTTTCAGGATTTGTATCGTTTGTCACAGATTTTCCCTTGAGAGTTTTGAATCATAATACATTAGCTACTTGTCACTACGTATTTCTTCAATGTTGGAGATTGAGACCAATTATTCATTTGATATGTCACAGAGGAGGCAAGTATGAATAGAGGTAGCGATTCCGACTCTAGATTGGAACAGAAAGTTTCCAGAATTCGATCAATCAGCGATTTTCTGCTTCGGACAGAGTCAGGTACTTCTGATGGTTCGACTGATGCACACGCCATCGACAGAGATGATTCTGACTTTTTCGACGATGATGTGGAAGAGATGGAAATGGAGATGGAGATTGAGATGTTAGTCGCTGCTGAAGAAGAGGTAAGGTTTCGTGAAGAGGTGCCACCTATATCAAGTTTAAACTTGAGACTACAGCATCAAGGGGAGACTGCAAGAAAGGGAACTTCTCAGATGAAAACTCTGCCTTGTTTGACTGGCAACTCTTACCCCCAGGTTCGTTATATTTTTGGATCTGAAAGGAATTTCCTTTGAAATTGGATCACGTCCTTGTGCTGACCTATTTGAAGAAGCTATGAACTTCTTTCTCCGATGTACTGTCATCGCTCTATACAACGTGAATACCGTTGGAGTACCTAAATTTGAGCTGCTCGTGTTAGTTTCGTTCAAATTCCAATGTGCTTATGTTGAAGTCATTTCTTGACTGCCGGCTCATTTTTTCTATTTATTTGAGCAAAGTAGTCTCAGGGTGCTTGGGTGTTAATATATATGATCAAGACAGCCTTATTATTTGCCCTTTACTAATATTAAGGCATTAACCTCTTGCTGTCGATGAACATCTATCTGAACTCCCGCTTATTTAAGCGTGTCCTTACAGAAGTACCATTAGTTTAGCTTGGTCTAATAATTGTACCCAAGTTATTAGCTTCTTTCACTTTCTGCGTTACTGGGTCTCCTTTCCACATCGATCTTGTGAAAGGTGATATTTGTGTAAAATATGAAGCGTACGTTTCCAGTGCTTTCAATCGCAAGCCTGAAATTTTGCAATGTTATTTAGCCGGTTTTGAAATTGATCTACCAAATTCCTTGCTATATATAGGTTGAAGTTGCAGTGGACATGCAACAGCGTTATGTGGGGCATTGTAATACTGGCACAGATATCAAGCAAGCGAGCTTTCTTGGCGAAAAAGGTTTTACACCTCTTAATAAAGTGTGGAAGTAATCAAAGAGTGTTTGAATTTGGACTTGTCCTGATATACTTCAATCCATTCGCCAACACTTAGGTCATTCTTGAGGACCCCTAATCCATCCGCTCCCCGCCCCACTTTACCTTATTGATTTGTTTATTTATTTGTTTTGGTTGGTTGTTGGCGAAACTCGGTTTTCAAATGGCAGGGGAATTTGTGGCGAGTGGTAGTGATGATGGACGCTGGTTCATATGGTCGAAGGAGACTGGGAGGTTGATCAAAATGCTGAATGGCGATGAGAATGGTTCGACATATGTAACTCTTTGCTGCGATTGCAATTCAATTGTTAGAACGGAATAGCATTGTGTACACCATGCTTTCCTGTGGATTTTTTTAGTAAAATCTAATTCTTGAGTACTAATAATACCATCTTTGAGTTCTATTCCTGCTCAGATCAGTTCTGTTAGGATTGGCTTTCTTCGTACACTGCTAGTTCCCCACATCGGCCATGTCGCAGTTTAGCGATGTGCATGTGAGCGGGTCCTTTGGTTGGTTTGCGAGAGTTGAGCATCTGCAACTATGTGTATCCTAAAATCATCCTATTTTGTTGGAATTTTTGCAGTTGTTAATTGTGTTCAGAGCCATCCATTCGATTGTGCTATCGCCACCAGCGGCATTGACAACACAATCAAGGTAGCAAGCATTCACGTTATGCCAGTTGAATCAGTTCTTTTCTTTTTCAGTGCGGACATTGTTTTTGATACCTCACCTTTCATTGAAACGGTCTGTAACCTTGAACCTTTCCTTTGAACATCGAGCAATTTGTAACTGTGGTCGTGTTCCGCTATGCCAGCTTTGGACTCCATGTGCAAGGGTCCCATCAGTGGTGGCCGGAGGAGAACACGGTCCTGATACGGCAGATTCTCTGCAAGTTATGAATGATAATCAAAGTCAGATGACAAGGCATCGAGAAATTGGATTGTAAGTACCAGTGTAGAAGTTGCACTTAGTTTTGAATCTTCTCGAGTGCATCTGTTACTTCTCAAAGATGTTGACCAGTATTACACTGCGTATTCATATTGACGTTCAAGGTGGATCGTTTCAGGCCAGTGGAGTTTCTTCAACGGTTCAGAGTGCAGGAGGGAGCAGTGGGTGCTGGTCACCCTTTCCAATGCACGCAGAGTTGATGGCGACCATGACAGATATCTGCTCTTGCTGAAGATCCTCGCCTGACCCCAATTGCGAATTCTCTCAGTCGGTGGTGATTTTAGTGGGCTAGTTGATTCTAGCTTAGTTGGAGCATTATGACGGTACGAGCAAGTGTAAATACGAGCCACTCTGCTTTGTTTTGAAACCCTGTAATATATCTCTCAAGATATTGTATAAATGGTTTAAAGCTTCAACTTTCCTTCAGTTGTAGATTTGAGTCATTTTTCCTGGAAAAATTTGCTTATTATTGCAACTCTTTCTCGAAGCCTTGAAGGTCATACAGCTGTTTGAAGTTACAGCATGTGGTCAGGCTGTAAGAGAGATCAAATTACATGGATGCGGCCAATTTGAGTGTTTCGGGTTGAATCTACTCAAGAATTAGCTGCTGCAAGAATCCACGTAGTGGTTTGAACTCGCATTTGTGGAAGTTGATACTAAGCGGTTATATACGTGGTATCGATTTGCTGTGCTTTCGCTTTTGGTGATTCGTGAGCTTTCGTGCTCTGCCTAAATATTTATTAATTATTTATACGCACCGTAATTTAATCAAATTAGAACGATATCCTTCTGTTTCAAGCCCGCCCTTATCGCCTGCCCCTGCATCAGCCCACGCACGCAGCACTCCCCCGCCAACGCATACTTTTGCCCCTCCCCATCCTGCGCTTCGCCTTCCTCTTCTCCATGTTCGGCGCCCAGAACCCTCCACAATGCAAACGGCACGTCCGCCCCCAACAACACCGCCACGTCATCTCCAGTCATCAGCGCGCCTGGCCCAATGCCGAAAAACCTCATCGACGTGATGAAGAACTTGCGCTTGTCGCACACGTACGTTGCAGAGTCGCGGTAGCGATGCCAACTGCCATTCTCGCCCTGCAAGTCCTCCTCATCCCCTCAGACTGGTCATCGTCTGTATTCTTATCGACGTCCTCGTCGTCGGGCCTCTGCTGCTGGTCATTTCAGGTCATCCTCGCTCTCCGGGACCCCCAAAACAGCCTATCCCAGTAAGCCTGGAAATCAGCCTCGAGTTGAAAGTTACCAACGTAGGTAAAATTGTTGTCTGCTACCCACGTGGTGCGATAGGCTGCAAACAGACTGCTGCCCATGCGAGGCCAGCCGAGCTGGGGATAGCTGTTCGGGTCCGCAGTGGTGGTCCCAGTGGAGACCCAGACCCTGGCGATGGGGCAGGATGTCCCAAGGCGTTGGACGGGTTCGGAGTCAGGCGTCAGCGGGGTGGTGGTAGTAGTGAGTGGGAGGTCGGAGTCTCTGGTGCACAGGACTTTGGTGTGGCAGGAAATGGTGTCGAGCAGGGTGCCGCGGACGGTTAGTGTGAAGGGGAACGAGGGGCTTGAGTTGAAGATGACATCTCTGTTGGCCGAGGCGATGTGTTTAGAGATGTAGAGACCTAAGATCGGCATATCGTGAAATTGGTCTCTGCGCGGGACCCAAGTAGGGCATGAGAAATTGGTGACAGAGGTGAATGTGGGGTTGTGTTGGACGGCGTTCAGAATTTCGAGAGACAAGGTGCGCCTGATGTGGTCGAGGGTAAGGAGGCGGTAGACGTCTTCAACATGTTTACTATAGTCTGCTTCGAGAGCGGTTCCCTGAGTTGATTTGCTGAGCGTGAGGTTGTATTCTGCACCAGATATTGATCGGTTATTCTGGGCAGGAAATGGATAGCCAACTCTCGATATGGTGCAAAACTAGACAACTTATCTGTCCCTACATGTGCACCTGGCTATTAGTTCGGAGGTAGGATGTGAGAGTAGCGCAAAGACCTTATCTCGCGAATCCGTCGCCTCAAGACGCCTTGCCTTATCTAGAATATGGAGTAACGTGGCCTGGGGTACGAAGGGCGAGTAGGCGGTATGCAGATGGTATACTTTGTTCACCTCCGTCGAAAGGTCAAGCCGTTCCAAGAGTGCTCTGCAATGCCGCATCAGGAACATGGTGATTATGTCGATGGGATGCCATTCTATGTCGAGATCACTCCACCGCACGACGGCACACGAAGCCAGCCCGACCTTTTGCAGAACCCATGTGCGGGAGAAATATGGTCGACAAAAGAACCGCTTTAGACGGGCCAGTTCTTCTTGATGTGGGTGGACAAGCGCAGGAGGAAGAGCTGATACAAAGCATCTCCCATTACCAACCCAATGGAGGTCCCCGGTCGTTTCATCGAAGTGCCTAATTGTTCCACCCAAGTAGTGGATAGCTTGCAGGCCCACAAATAGCGCTTTTATATCGCTGAATACAAAATCTGCGTCACCGTTTTCATCGAGTCCCAGCCATACTTTGACAATAGCCGCTTGTATATATCAGCCATCACTTTCACCTGCTGGTTCCGCTCCGGAATATTTTTCTGGTCAATGCACAAAGCATCAACCCAGAGGTAGAAACGGGTCGACACCTCTCGGAACCTCTGGAGCGCGTCCCGGAGATTCAATCGCACTTGTACAGTCTTACCGTCACAAAGTATGGGCACGGTGTGCGATGGATGGCCCCACACATATGAAAGCGCGATATATTCCGGGGGATTTGAAATATCCGCAACTACAAGACTGCAAGAGAACTCTGCCGGCCCGACACCAGAATGAAGCCTCATGAACCGTATCGAGTTCGGTTGAGGGAGCGGTTCGTACTGATACTGCTCTATGTTTTCCATGGCAGTCTAGAAGGTACTGAACAATACCAGTGGAATAGAAAACGGACCAGAACGGATTCAATCACTCGACAACCTATCAATCTGGCGGATGCAAAGTCCGGAGGACTCATTGCCCCACCATCCCCAACTTCTCTTCTTCGAAAGGCACAACTTTCACCCTCTCATTGATTTTTGCCTCAAATCCCTCTCCGGGACTTGTTCATGCTCTTGACCCTACGGACACCGTGATCAACTACGTACCATCGGCAATCTCAGAAGACCATCATGGCCAGTGCCTATTATGATATCTATTAAGAGATTTGACCGATCATTTCTTACATGGTTTCTGGAAGCTCAATGTAGTACACTGGATTCCAAATTAGGAATCGTGCCCGTGTGTACGGAGTTCTCTCAGTTTAGTTTAACGTGCAGTCTGTCAGAAGTCAACGTGCGAATGGGCTCGTTTTGAGCATTTTCACCTTTCATTGTTATCAACTCAACCAAATTCCTCGAATCTCGTTACAAACTCGGAATTTAGGGTGAAGTTGTCAACGAGTCGACGCAGCAGGCATAGTTGCTAGTTAGTAAAGCATTTGAATAGAATGTCATTCCATCATTTCTTCATTCATGTCCAACAAGGAATCCGTCGCTGTTTTGGTTTCATGATACTTAAAAGAAAAATACTGATCCTTCTCAAACTAGTATCCAGTGTGTTGCTCATAGAATTAATTTGGCAGCTTTAGAAGCTGCGAAATCAAATAAATGTTGTGAAATTTCATCCGTAATTGATAATATATTAAATATAATTGCTTTTCATTTTAGGAAGTCATCCAAACGAAAATATGATTTGGATTTTTACATGAGGAACTTAATGATGCAAAAAATGAAAAATGAAAGGCCTAACAAAATCTGATGGTTTTTTTTATGCAGTAAGCAACAACCTTGCTTTGTGTGATAGTTAGAAAATATATTAAAGTAGTTTTGACATGTGATAGCGGTAAAGGATGATGGAGTAACACAAAGCATCTATTCAAAGTTAAGTAATTTTAAACTTGTTTATTTTTTATATTTTTTTAGTTAATATCTTCATTCTTTAGCAATGTTATTCAAAATATTTCAATACAAATTTGTTGATATTAGTTTTATAAGATCAATTGTAAAAATATAATTACTCAAATTTGTATGTTGCCAAAGAAGATAGTATAAATCTAACTTTTAAGGAATTCAAATAAAACTTGATAAATTAGGTTATATATTGTGTCATTTCAAAAAATATATATTAGAATAATTATCATTGCTTTCAAAAATAGGTTTGAAGATAATAACGTTTTAAATTCTTTCAAAATTTTAAATCCTACTAATATAAAAAGTGAATTTTAGTAAATTAGAGTGTGGTAGATTTAGAATTATTAAAGTGCATATTATGATGTAGAATTGTTTTTACTTAATGTACAAGTAACTAAACAAGAATTCTTTGCATTCCAAATTCAACCTATTGCAGAATAGGTGGATATGGATTTTAAGTATTTATAATCAATGATAACATAGAATTAATCTTGACAATTGAAATATGCAAATTTATTAGTCAGGTTTGAAAATTCTAAGGTTCATTGTATAAGCACTATTATAACTAAGACTAAAAACACAAATAAAGAGATAAAGAATAATAAAAATAGATAATAACAAAAGAATGCATTAAAGGATTAGAAATAAGAAAATAGATCGAATATAAAAATTTAAAGACTAAAAATCTAGAATTTAAGAACTCAAAATAATATTAAAAAATAAAGAACTAAAAAAATAAAGAATAGTAAAACTTGACAACAAGAAGCAAATCTACTAGAAGATTGGAAAAAGAGAATAGATTGAGTATTCCAAATTGAAGACTAAAAACTTAGGATTTAAGAACTACAAACTAGATTTTAAAATAAAGAAATAAGGGAAGAAATATACTCAAATGTATTAAGAAAGAAAAAAAAATATGTACTTAGAGGTTTGGTGAATAACTTTGAAAAATTATAGTTGAGTCACAACCTTAACTTTATATATATATATATATATATATATATATATATATATATATATATATATATATATATCTATATCTATATATTCTATGATATATTTTGATAAAATATAAAATATATTATAAAATATGTTAAAATAACAAATACAAATCTAGAATATATTTTAAAATTATCTAAAATTTTCTTTGAAATAGTTTTATAACTTTTAAAATATTCTATATGAATATTTTAGAACCTTCTAATAATATTACATAAAAATATTCTAAAATAAATTCAAAGATCTAACAACATTTTATAATAACTTTTTTTTTATAGTTCAAGGGCTTGATATGTGGGCTTTTGTAACATATACAATAATTTTAAAAAATATATATTCAAAATTGTATTAAATTCAACTTTGTAATAATTAGCACATAGATTAGTTAGAATATGTCATGAAAATTGCAATTGAGGTTTTTACAAATAAAATTCAATCTATACTATTGGAAGCAATGAATTTGTAGAAGAAGTCATCAAAGTTGAAGTACTTTTATTCTAATTTTAAAATAAAATCAAGAATTCATTCATTGGAGAATGGTAATGATATATAGGGCATAAAATATTCTTAAAATTCTGTATTATGTCATATTGGATGGATGTGTTAAAATAAAATTTTCTACATTTCTATTTTTTATACAAATAAGATTTTTGCAATTATGCAAGGATTGAAAATCTATGGTCTTATATTGGGTGGAAGTTATGCCAAGTTCAAATCTTACTATGGATGTTGAATAATTATAAAATTCTACTATAAATAATAAATATCTAATTTTTATGTAATATTGTATATATAATTAATAATAGAATTTATTTTTTATAATTAAAAAAATTAAATATATTGAGTATAATAATTCTGAAAATAAAAAATTAAATCCATGAGTCAAATATCTATATTTTTGGAAAAAAATAATATAAAAAAAAACCTAAAATTACTAGGTAACTATGTGTTGATTGATTGTGATTGGAAGTTGTTTTGTACTAGATGCCAGTATGCATCTTCGAATATATATATATATATATATATATATATATATTTATTTATTGAATTATTTTATAAGCTTAAATTTTTAAATTTTTATAAATAATTATTTAGATCTTTTCACTAGTATCCCTTCAAAGTCTTTGTTCAAAATAAAGATTTGGAGCTTGGTTCTAGGCTATCTCTTTCTTTGCTATTACATGACAAATTTTACCAATACAAGAGAAATATAAGCACAACTAAGAGAATTTTACTTATATCATCTTCGCCAAGACATTATCCAAGGTCTTACTTGTATGTTTTTACAAATATGAAAACTAATGGTGGACATATTTTTGTATCTATACAATCCTATAGCTTTAGATATATTTTGTATCTAATTCAAAATGAACTAAAGTAAACTAATTACTATTATATTTATTTTTTTATTTTTAATAACATAAATATGTTGATATGAATATTACTTGAGTGATGTTATTTTGTTGTATATATAATATAAAGAATCTATTCCTATTAGTTTAAGCTTTTTTTTCATACTTCTACCTACAAAATATTAGTAGAATAAATTTTGATACAAAAGCAACTACAAAAAAATAACTTTGATTTGATAAAAAAAATATAATTTCTTTGCCAAGATGAATAAAATATGATTTTTTAAAGTAAGAACTCATGTTGCATCCAAAAAAATAACTTCTTAAGCAAGTAAACATAATAGTATAAAATTTTCATTGTAAAATGTTAATTAGTCAAATAAAAATGTTACATCATGAAAATAGATGAATTGAAATGTCAAATATTCAATCAAGCATTGATATTCAATTAAAAATAGGTGCATGTATGTCACTATTTAAATAATATTATTTTATTCTTTAGGCTTCAACAAGGATTTATATTATTAATCCATAATACTTATGCTTAATTGCATAAAAGTCCTTCTATCTTCTTACTTTAGTTTAATATTTGTATTCTATTCAAACTTTGTTTAATGATATTTTAAAATCTATACTAAATTTAAGTGATTGAACAAGCTATATTATAAATGAAATATAAACTAAAATATAGAATAACATATAATAGGTGCTTTAGAATTCTCCGAGTTCAAATTTCTTTTATCTTGTGAATAGAGAGCATCATTTGGTGAATCAAAAATATATGGATTAATTGTTGCTTGAGTGTAGAACCAACTTGCATATTGATATCTTGATGAGACCTAAAAAATAATTTGAAATTGATGCATGTGGTTTGAAGCTAGAAATATGTTACAAATTAAATAACATGTAATTTAGTATATTATATTTTCATACAAATTAAAAATATAGAAGCTTAAATTTTGAAAATTTAACATCTTAGGAAAAAAATTATTATAAGTTTATGGATATTTTGAGGTGCAACATATAATTTATATTTTAATATTATTGCAAATATAAATGATTAATTTAGCAAGAGTAATATCCACTTTGCTATTGCTAATAAACTTCTTTTCTTTCTTCATAGGTTCAATCAGCAAATTACTATTTTTTTCTTCTAATAAAACAATGTATTGAGTAGAGATTTTAATGTAAGATCCAACTCCGCCCTTTATTACACTCAATGTTGAAAGATCCTTCATGATATCTTTGTTAATGGTGTGCATCTCATCCTTCATTATCATGATCTAGTTAAAAAATCAAACATAAGCTTCAACCATCTTGGATATGATCAATCTTCTTGGCTCTATATAAAATAGTCCTACAACTATGTCTTAGCTAAAAATCTTAAATCAACCTCCTACAGTATGCTAAGCATTTTAAGATAAGTAGTGTATATATTGGCCAAAGTACTTACTATGTGCAATTCATTCGTTGATTTTGCTATCTTATCATCTAATTTACTTACTATCTTATCTTAAATAAGGATTTTTGTGAGAAACAAGAGTAGTTAATAAATCTTCTAAACTCCTATTAGAGAAGCAATCAAGTAATCATATTTCTTTTTGA